AAATTCTTCCTGTGGTTTGGATTTTGCTTTGATAGGGTATGGTATTGGCTGAAAGAGAGAATTCAGTTAGAAAATGAAGAATGAGGATAGTGCTCTAGGTGAAGGGGATAAAATGAGAAAAACATGACAACCGGAAGAGCCAGGTTATTCCTTTAGGGGAAGTAGAGGACATTGAGGAAATTGACTGGAAGCTTGCTTGGGGTCCATGTCTGGGTCAAACGTTATGTTGTGGGTAATTAGAAACCAGATATTTCTGAACAGGCAGTGAGCTGACGGCCCTGGGATTTAGGAGGATGAATCTCCTGGTCATTTATGGAATTACATATAAGAATAAGAAAAATAGCAACTACCTATTGATTAATTCTTACTGTTGAATGCATACAACATCATCCTATATAATCTTCACAATAGCCCAACGAGGTAGGTAAGTGCTTTACAGGTGAGGAAACTAAGGCTCAGGCTTCAGTTTTAGTCCACAGGGACTTTCTGAGCACAGTATGCCAGATGCTCATCTCAGCTGTAAGAATGGACCTGAGGACTGACATAAGTGTGGTCCCTGTTGTCTTAGAGTTTACAATTTCAGAGAGACAAACATTAATAAAATTTTGTACAAGTTTAATTACAACAGTGATTATTACTCCAAGGGAAAAGTATGGACACTATGATAGAATCAGATGGGGAGAGGGGACCTGATATTACTCTTGGAAGTCAGGAAAGGCTTCCCAGAGAAGTGACAGTGGCACCAGCTGGAATGGGCAGGAGCTGGCCAGGGAGGTGTGGCAGGGAGGACAGATGCCCCTCCCCCCCACAGACATCAAATTGCTGGTGTCAGAGAAGGAATCCAGACTTGACCTGACTTCACACCCATGGTCTCTCCCCATTTCGGGAAGCATTCCTTCTCGCACAGCCTGGATGGCTGGTTTTGAAGAATTAAAAGAAAACCTTGATTAAATCTATGAATTGGTCTGGCTCTCTTCACTCATATCTCTCTCACCTCATAGTATCTGGAACGTTTTTGCAATAGAAAACAATGGAAAACCACATTATTTCAAGTGCATCTGCTTTTACCCAGATTGTGAACTAGCCTGGGCAGCTCACACGCTCTACATGACCTTATTGCCAGGAAGAATGCATTCTACAGGAAGCAGGTCACTTGGAGGAGCTAAGAATGACCCTTCCCTCCCCTATACTCCATCCTTGCCCACTCAGTTCCAGCTATCAGAGAGGCTGAGAGGGCTGAGGGAACCTGAAGAAGAACACAGGAATCCCTCCCAGTTGGAGACTGATGGGCTTCCCTTTAAGATGTTAGGCTCCATGAAACCAAATGTACACAAAATGTTGATTGTAAAACAAATTCTGCTCCTTAAATTTACACCTAAAGCACAATTAAAAAAAAAAAAAAAAAAAGATTTAGACTCCAGCCTAGAGCCACACATTTGATTCTTATGGTGCTCTTATGAAGCAGGGAATAATATTCCCACTTGATGAAGACATTGAGGTACATCAGAGTCAGGAAGGATAACCTGGCTTTGGCTCTTCATTCAATGCTTCACACTTGGACATACTGACGAGGCTTCAGATGAATAAGAAGCTAACACTCCCTTAGTGTTGCTCAGGACAGCCTGTGGTGTAAAAGTATTATGAAGTGTCATATTTACGACACTTAGGGAGCTCAGAGATCACTCCCAACCAAGAAACCAAACAAGTTACTGTCATGTCAACTCCATCTCATGGCGACCCCATGTGTGTCAGAGCAGAACTATGCTCCATAGGGTTTTCAGTGGCTGTTTTTTCAGAAGCAGTTCATCAGGACTTTTTTCCAAAGTGACTCTGGATGGACTCGAACTACCAATCCTCTAGCTATCAGTCATGTACCTGTTCACACCACCCAGGGACTCCTAAGAGCATTCCAAATACCCTTATTTTACAATGGAGAAGCATAGAAATGATTGCATTGCTGGTGGGTGGTAGGGATTTCCAACTCCCAGCTCATTGCTCATTCTACTCTTCCACGTGATTCTATTGTTAGCTAGAAAGTTTTCCCTGAATTATGAATGAGCAAAGAGGAAATTATGTATGTGCTTGTAGGAAGTGTCAGACAGAGAGAGGCTCAGCTACCTGTGCTGTGAAAATGCCCGGGATTGCTTTAAGCACTGATTCATCGTCATTCTATTTCTGTTAATTGTGAGTTCAGCTTTAGGAAAACAAAACAAAACAGTCTTTAATTATATATCCATTCAAAACTCAGCTTCACTCTCCACATGTCTCCAGCAGTGAACATTACCAGGCACAAAGTCGTCCATGGTCAAGAATGCTGCCATCTCATAAAGGCATTTGCAGACTGTGTGCATGTTCTGTGAGTTTAGGTGCAAGATGTTTCCCATCCTTCATGTCTTACCGTTGACCTGTCACATTTGCCTGTCCTGGCTGTGTCGGCCTGAACACATCTGTCTTTCTGACACCTTTGCAGCAGCTGGAGGGGCTCCTGTATTTATTAGTTCTGTGAGCATAGACTGTAAAGGCTTTACAAACCTGCCACTGGAAAGTTCCATTTTTCTTCCTTCTGGAGGGAGTTTATGTGCTTTGGATCTTGAGCCATACTCAGGGTGTGACTTGGGCTTCCTGCTGCTCTCTGTCATGTATGACTCAAAGGCCCCTCAGAGAAGGGCTTGAGAGCAAGGCTCTAGCTGCAGCTACTCCATCCTGGAAAAGTGAAAAAATGCCCTTGGCTCAGCCTGATGGGTGCGGTGATGGGCAAGGATTGCCCCGACCTTGCTCAAGGGACTCCATGCTCCCCTGTTTTTTTGTTTTGTTTTGTTTTTCTTCCTCTCAAGTGCAGGAAATTAGATTTGACCTCTGCTCTGATCACTCTAAAATCATTCTTGGCACTAAAGACTTCCAGCCTTTGTAATCAGAGCATCTATTATCACTGTGATGAGCGCTGGCGCTCTGATGGGGCGGGATGCAGAGGCAAATGCGATTTCTGTGATTCCTCATCCCCATGTTGAGTGCAGATGTCTTTCAATGGAGTGAAATCATCTCTAATAAGCAGCCATCAGCATTCACATGTCTCCGGGCTGCATTAACAGTTTCCCACCAAAATGGCCCGTGCCAAACCACCTTATGGGACCCTTCCTGGTGGAAAAGGCAGGGAGAATCCCAAAGAAAACCCAATTCTCAACCAAACCATTTGGGACAAACTCAGAAAAGTGATGCTGTATTTTTCTCAGCACGAATGGAGCACCATGCCTCTCTCAGGCACATGAAAAGGAGGAGGTGAGAAGAGATGGTAGAACATGACAGTGTCCTGAGATGAAGGAAGGGAAATAGAAGAAGGGCTTCTCAACTTCCAAATCAGACCTAGTCTGTGGGGAAGCTGCTTTGTACTCAGAACCTCAACTTTTTTCTAGCCTTAGAATAGGACTATGGATTTCTGACAAAAGATGTTTGTATAAATTATCTATACTATTTCTGCAAACCACTTGGATTCATTATACATTTACTGAACACATATTTACAAATTACTGTAGTCAGAGCCAAGGTAGAACCAATGAGTATTAATCCTGTGATGAAAGGATGATGTTTGTCTTATTCACTAAACACTCTGCCCGGAACCTGGCACAGAAATGGTACTCAGTTAATTGTGGCATGAACAGAGGGAGTTGGTGAAAAAGCAAATCCTCAGGAAATTAAAATCTAACTGGAGATTTACAGACCAGTACATAAATAATGGGACCTCTGGTGGCATAGAGCCTAAGGCATTTGACTGCTAACCAGAAGACTGGCAGTTCAAACCCACCAGCCGCTCGGATGGAAGACTGGGCAATCTACTTCCGCAGAGATACTGCCTCGGAAACCCAAGGAGGGGTGGCTATGAGTCGGGATCGACTTGATGGCAGTGATTGAGTGTAAGACATAAATAATTGTAATTCAAGGAGGAATGTGGAAAGTATCTTAAGAGGACAAATCAATATTTTAAGATTAAAGAGGGAGGAAGGTGACATCCAGGTGGCAGGGAGCAATAGAATTCTTCTCATGAAGGAGTTGGCTTTACTGGGGCTTTGGTGGCAGGTGGAACTTCAATGGAAAGGAAGGGAGGTAAATGCCTTCTAGAGAGTAGTAAACAGACCCTGAGTGGTGTGAATGGTTAATGCCTTTGGCTGCTAACCAAAAGTTAGGGAGTTCAAGTCCACCTTGTGCACCTTGGAAGAAAGGCCTGGCAATCTACTTCCAGCAAATCAGCCCCTGAACGCCCTGTGGAGCACAGTTCTACTCTGACACACATGGGTCGCCATGAGTCAGAACTGACTCGACGGTAACTGGTTTTATAAAAGAGAAGCAAAAGCCCCGGTGAAAGGTGGAAAGGGGAATCATTTGGCCATAGTAAGTGTGCCCAGACAGGGGGTGTCCAGGGCAGCAAGGTGGCAGGCAGGGAGCCACCTTCCCTCTTTTGAGCACCTGACACAAGTTAGCCATGGTCCAAGCATTTCGGTCTCACCCTCGCCCTTCCAGGTAGAAAAACCCAACCACACCTACTGCTGTCGACTCAATTCTGACCCTGCCGGACAGAGTAGAACTTCCCCATAGGGTATGAGTGGCTGGTGGGTTCAAAGTACCAACCTTTCAGTTAGCAGTTGAACACTTAACTATTGTGCCACGAGGGCTCCTTTTTCAGGAAGAGAGAGAGCATTGCCATTTTACAGATGAGGAGTTTCAGCTTTTACAAGTGTGGAAATCATTTTCTAAGGCTTCATTTCCTGGGAGAGCAGAGAGCTTCTGCCCAGATAGGGGGAGGGATGCTTTCTCCAGAGTGGCCTCCCCTGCTGCAGACCCCTGAAGCCAGGCCTCTTGCAGACAAGGACAGTGCTTTATAGCTTTCCCGGCCACAGGAGGGCCCTTGGAAAACCATTCCTGCCCAAGTGAAGGCAGGCAGCCAGCAGGCAGGTGCAGAGTCCCTTACCCACCATCTCATGGTCTCCCTCTCTGTTTGTCCCATTCAGCCTCAAGCCCTTCTCCAGATGGTCAGGATGCCAGGAGGCCCAGGAGCAGGAACCCCTCCACCTGGACCGTGGAGGATGTGGTCTGGTTTGTGAAAGATGCCGACCCTCAGGCTTTGGGGCCTCACGTGGAGCTCTTCAGAAAGCATGTATGTGAGGGTTGGGGCCTGGCCTCCATGGTGGGACAGTGTGGGGTCATAGAAGGAGGGTGTGGTTCAGGGAGCTGGGGCCTACTATGGTGACTGAACTAAGTCCTAGGGGCAGTGCTCAAGTGGGCCAGAGATGAGAGGCCAGATGGAACCAGACTCCTCAGAGCAGAAGGACCACTTGGTTTTGTTATTAGGGGTTATTTGTTCCACCTGTTCCCTCACATTGGTCTTCATTGAGAGTGCTGTTTTCCCACCCACCATCCGTCTGTGCGTTCCACAGACATTTATAGTGCACTAGGTGGTGGCCTAGGAGCTCTGGTAGCATAGTGCCTAAGGCACTTGACTGCTAACCAGAAGGCTGGCAGTTCAAACCCACCAGACACTCCTCAGAAGGAAGGTTGGGCAATCTACTTCCGTAGAGATATCGCCTCGGAAACCCAAGGAGGGGTCGCTATGAGTTGGGGCCGACTCGACAGCACATAACAACAACAGGTGGTGGCCTAGTGCCTAAGGCATTTGATTGCTAACCAGAAGGCTAGAGATTTAAAAACCCACCAGCCACTCCTCAGATGGAAGACTGGGCAATATAGTTCTGTAAAGATTTACCTCGGAAACCCAATGGGGGTTGCTGTGAGTCAGAACCGAATTGATGGCAGTGAGTTTGGTTTGGTTTTGGTTTAGCTACAGTCCAGGCAAGTTGTTACTGTGCCCATTCCCTAAGCTGCTTTGAGGATTAAGTAAGAAAATGTACATAAAGTACCCATCAGTGTCTGGCTTTTAGAAAGTTCTCATTCAACAAAACTAAACCTGTTGCCATCGAGGTAATTCTGACTCACAGCGACCCCATGTGTTAGAGTAAAACTGCTGCATTTGGTTACCTTGGCTATAACCTTTATAAAAGGAGATCACCAGGTCTGTCTGCTGCTGGGTGAGTTCCAACTACGAACCTTTAGCTTCGTGGTTAAGTGCAGACCATTTGCACCACCCAGTGATCTTCACTCTCGTTAAAAACCAAACCCACTGACATCAAGTGGATTTCCACTCTTAGCAACCTCTTTTGGGTTTCCGAGGCTGTAAATCTTTATGGATGTAGATTGCCCCATCTTCCTTCCGTGGAGCGGCTGATGGGTTTGAACCTCCAACCTTCTGGTTAGCAGTCAAATGCCTTAGGTACTGTGCCACCAGAGCTCCTTTAGCTCTCATTGTTGTTGTTGTTGTTGTTATGTGCCATCGAGTCGGACCTGACTCATAGTGACCCCTCCTTGAGTTTCCAAGACAGTATCACTATGGAAGTAGATTGCCTCATCTTCCTTTCGAGGAGTGGCTGGTGGGTTTGAACCACCAGCCTTCTGGTTAGCATTCAAGTGCCTCAGATCCTAAGCTACCAGAGCTCCCTTAGCTGTCATTAGCAGGTACTGTTATACTCATTCAGGAGCTTCTGAAATACATGAAGATAGTAAAAAAAAAAAAAAAAAAAAAAAGGTAACTAATACTTTACCTGTCAAGTTTACTGTATTAGTTTCCCATTGCTGTTGTAACAAATTACCACAAACTTTTCAGCTTAAGACAACATAAATGTATTATCTTGCAATTTTGTAGGTGATAAGTCTGACACAAGCCTCACTGGGCTAAGAGCAAGGTGTCAGCAAGGATGTGTCCCTTTCTGGGGACTTGAGAGAGAATCCATTTCCTCATTCCTTGGCTCACTGCCCCCGTCCCCATCTTCTGAGCCAGTAATGGCAGTCTGAGTCTGTCTTACACTGCCATCTCTCTGGTTCTTGTTTCATATTTCCTCTTTTCTTTTAAGGACTCTTGTGACTACATCCCTCCACCCCCTACTCAAAAAAAAAAAAAAAAAACCCTTACAGTCATCGAGTCAATTCTGACTCATAGCGACCCCCACTGAGTTTCCAGGGCTGTAAATCTTTATGGAAGTAAATCGCTCCATCTTCCTTCTGTGGAGCAGCTGATGGGTTTGAACTCCTGACCTTCTGGTTAGCAGCCAAATGCCTTATCCACTACACCACCAGAGCACCTTCTACCCCTTGCTAATCTAGGATAATCTATTTAAAGTCAGCTGATTAGCAACTTTAATTTCATCTAGAATCTTAATTACCTTTTGTAAGGTAACAATGTATCCACAGGTTCTGGGTATTAAGACATAGACATCCTTGGGGAGGAGCCCATTATTCTGCATCCATTACTCTTTCCTTCCTGTCTCTCCTTTATCTTGGTGATTCTGTCATAGAAATCACACTCTCACATCTGAGGAAGGTCTTAGAGAGCCTCATCTAATCCAATATTCACATTTTATTAGGGATATATTTAACCTCACCTAACAGTGGGGTCTTGAAACCAAGAACACAGAGTGAGTTATATTTAGGCAGATTTGGGTAGAGAGAGTTTGATGCTTTTCTAGGATGGTGGAAGATACTAAGGAAAAGAGAAAGCATTAGGAAATGGAGCTCCTGGGAGGAGCCCACAGGTGAGTTTTGCCCATTCTGCCATTTTGTCAAGGGCATGGAGAGTGAGCGGCACAGAGCATGTGCTCCATTGATGCTGACTGCCTGCCTGGCTGGCTGGCTGGGTGGATGGATGGATGAAGAGATGAATGGATGGATGGATGGATGGATGGATGGGAGTGACTTGTGATCTTTCCACAAGTACAAGAGTCCAGTAGTTGTTCCTCTTTTCCCCATCTGAACACCCAAAATTTTCCCTGCTTGTTTTTAGTGACCTGAAAAGTAGCCCTACAGTTGAGGCAGTGAGAAAACCCTGCCTTGCTAGATTCATGAATTCAACAATGGGAAGAAGATTGGCACATTCCCTTACTAGTCCTTTGTGCTAAACCTGGTGGGTGCATGACTACTAAGTTGCATGCTACCTAGAATTATTGACAGGACTAAAACAACTCCTGAAATCCAGTTTCATAATCAACTAAAGGTAGGCATATCTACTGAGGAAAAAAACAAGAAATTAGGGTGATGGATGAAGTCAGGGCCTTGTAACAGCAATTGGAATGGAAAGCTAACCACTAGTTTCAGGGTCTAATGGAAGACACTTCTTGCTCCTTTAGCCCTAGTTTGAGAAGATAAATATTATATGTGGATATTGGGAACATGGCTAGGTTATATCTGATTCCTCCCATTAAGTTAGTGTAGGATTATAAAAAGTCCACTACATCAAATGGCCCCAGGGAGATGGTGGGAAAAGGAGCACACAGTATTTTTTGTTTTAAATGGTGTGTTGTTTTTTTTTTAAGATCTGCCCTGAGGCCAAAAACGTTTGCCATCTAAGTAAATCCACTTGCCCTTAGCGCATTCCCTGACCATAACCATAACCTTAGCCACTGTTTAATCACTCTGACCTTCTTCTGGGTTTTCTTTTTTCTAACCCATTCCACCAGGAGATTGATGGCAATGCTCTGCTATTGCTGAAGAGTGATATGATCATGAAATACCTGGGCCTAAAGCTGGGACCTGCACTGAAACTCTGCTACCATATCGATAAACTGAAGCAAGCCAAGTTCTGAAGTTGTTAAACATAGAGACAAAATGCAAGACAACAGATTCCAAGGTCATTTTCTGCCTTTCCAACATCCAGCCACCATCATGTAACAGATTCTCCTCTTAAAAACAACAACCACAAAGACTTGGCCTTTTTATAAAACTTGTACATCTTTGCCTTTTAAAAAATTCAGTATGGCCCTTTGCAAAGGCTCCTCTGTGTTAACGATTTGCCAAAAAGTTATAAAAAGCCTATTCTTTTTCACATTCCTGCTATGTTGTTTGTGCTTAGAGTGAGTCTTATTTTTATAATGAGGAAGTGGGAACTGAATGCTAACGCCCAAGGAGAGCCCTGGAGGATTCCAGGGTGTGAGGAGAAGGACCTCAGTCCGAACGTCCACTGCAGCACCACCTGTCTTTAACTCTGCCTTGGGGACCTATTCAGTGTGAGCCTTGAGTCGGCTCTGGAAGCTGTCTTCTGAGGCTGACTCCTTCACCTTGCACTAACTGGAAAACTTGAATTCTTTTGCTCTCTAAACGAGAAGACCCCCCCCCCACACACACACACCCCTTTGCCTTTCTTGTTATCTGAAGTATTGTGTTGCCCCACTAGAGGGCGGACTGCTAATAAACTTCAGGACTCTTAAACTGACTGCAGTAGCTTGATTATTCTGTACTCAGTGGATGGGTTAGGGCTTTTGTGAACAAGATCTGCACAAAAACAGGGAATTTATTCCACAGTCAGCACCACAGATTGTAAATTGGGAAGAAACCGCCTTCCGGAAGGTTCTAGTTCATAGCCAATCATTATTGACTGACTGACTGATGCACAAGGCAGCAAAGGCAAGAATTTGGAAGCACCCTCTTCCCAGATGGGACTTTGGAGTCCTTTCCCTTCCCGAGTCCTCACTGAGATGTCGATGTGTTGGCACACTGAAGAGTCTTACTGACATTTAACCATGGGTGCTTCTTTTGAAAAAAGAGAAAAATGTCTCAACTAAGCTTTGAAAATGGGAAACTTGATTTCTAGTTACATTGCTGGGTTATGTAGCTATATCTGTGGCTAATTTTTCTAGTCCTCAACAAATACACAGACATGCTATTATTGAGTTTAATTCAATTTTCAATTAGGTTTTCTTTCCTCACCATGGAGTAATAGAAAAAAATTGATTTTCTACCCCTTTGCAGCTGTGCCTAGAAGCAGCTGGATGGATCCATGATTCACCAGGCAGAAGGGCAACCTCCTCTCCTTCTTTTTAGCCTTCTCCTTTCTCTCTTTCCCTTTCTCTTTTCAATCCCCCTCTCACTGAACATATCTTTGAAATGATTAATTCACCTATGCCAGAGGTACATCCACTTCCTTAAAGAACAGTCCCACTGGGGGAGGCGAGGGGTTCACTATAACCTTGCAGTCTCTGGGAGGGTGAGTGTCAAGGAAAGCTCGAGACCTCCCTTGGTTCAAATCTGCATTAGAAAAAGCCTGTGTTCCTCTGGGCTGTGGCTGCGCAGGGGTCTCAGCTGGCCCACGGAACAAAGTGGCATCTCAGCCCCCTCACTTCTCAGCCGGCTGGGTGTCCTTGCTCAGAACACCACCTGCGCAACCTTGAGGACAGCCCTGATAGAATTTGCAGGTTGACCTTCTATAAATCAGTTAGAAAAACCCAAACTCACTGCCATCCAGTCGAGTCTGACTCATAGTGACCCCCTTTTGGGTTTCTGAGGCAGCAAATCTTTACAGAAGTAGATAGCCCAGTCTTCCTTCCTCAGAGTAGCTGGTGGGTTTGAACCACCAACCTTCTGGTTAGCTGTCAAATGCCTTAGGCACTACGCCACCAGAGCTCCTTAAATCAGTTAGAAGACCCTAAGAAATATTGCACTCCATGCTGTTCAATCCCCTTTAGTTGAGAAAGCACATCATAGGAGAATCCATTTTCAGAAAAGTAAATGGTGGCTGGGCTTAGCACATGACAGAGAAGAGCAGGAGAAGAGTGTCCGACACCTGCCCATCACCTGAGCTTGAGTTTTCATGTCACGAAAGAGCTGACTGTAGGCTTCAACACATGACAAAAAGACCTCGAATCAGGCTTGGGATGATCTTCGAGATTCTGAAAGAGAAACAGACTTCGCTCATCAAAAGTTTGTTAATCTCAAGTCTCCTTGCTGGGCTAGAGTTAGATAAGTTCCCTCAAAAGGCCATGGAGAGTTTAGATATTGAGAACAGCCAGTGTGAGAACAGTGAGACTCAGAAAATCTCAGGACAAGCGTTTCCCACCCATTGCTTTTGCTCACTCGCCTGGTATTGTGGTGCCTGTTCCATGAGCATAAATCAGGTGCCGTCAAGTCAATTTCAACTCATGGCGACCCCGTATGTGTCTGAATAGAACTGTGTTCCTAGGGCTTTCAGTGGCTGACTCTTCAGAGGGAGATCAGCAGGGCTTTCTTCTGAGATGCCCCGGGTGGACTCAAACCTCTAACCTTTCTGTTAGTAGCCGAGTGTGTTCATCAACTGCATCATTTCCATCCTTTTGAAAAGATACACAGACTTTGCTCGCCAAAGGTTGTTAATCTTAAGTGCACGTTGCTGGGCTAGAGTTAGATCATTTCCATCAACATACACCTCATTCAATGACTTTCACTATTAAGCTTTCAAAACCTTTTCCCCAACCTCGTAGTGCCTCCCTCACTATAAAAACATGACCGTGGTGCTCCAAAATCAAAACCAGCCCGAAACAATGGTAATGAGAAACTCTGACTCATTTACAGGAGACAGAGACAGAGAGCTCCCCATCTCAAGCCTAGGAGGAAACTATCTCCCCGTTCACAAGGAACGGCTCTCGCGGAGGTGCTATCTCGTTTTGCATTAAACTTTAAGCAGGACAGATTGCCGAAGCCATGATATTTAAGATCTCACTTTTTACAAATCTCATTACTCTTAAAATGAATGCTGCCATATCAGAAACTAACCCAGGGAGGAAATTCTTCCCTGCCTGTTTTCACACTGAAATGCAATTAGCTGACCAAATTATCGTAGCAATAGTGCAATCATAATTAATTTTCACCCTTCTCAAAAATCTTGTCAAACCAGGCCACTAAAAAGCTTAGCAAATGTAAAACATGCCGGGCCATTTCCTCTAAACAGACCTTAAAGAGGCAGGCCACGTGTGTCACTCTCTTCCGAATGAGGGCTTACTTCGGGGCCTCACACTTATACAAATATGGTCCTTGTTATTCCATTGCAGTGGCTTTGCTTCAGGTGGCAGTGAATAATGATAGAGGTTTGCATAATTCCAAATTAGATTGTGTATGTGTGTGTGTGTGCATGCATATGTGTGCATGTGTGCTCCAAACATTTCCAATTGCACTTGTCTGTTAAACACATTTTGGAAAAAAAAAAAAGAAAAAATCAGGACAGTTCTGTTGCCTAAGGCATTTTAAATGTTTTATGAAGCATATTGTTCTCTTTGTGAAGACTTTAGGTAAAAGATGCAGGTTTTGTCTCTATGGGTGAGTTTCCTGCTGTTGTAATTGGAAAAGCCTTAGAAATAGCTGGGAGTGTATCAGCTATCACGTTTGCTTGACTTAAACTGTCTCTCCATCTTACAAATCATCGTTGGTAAAACGGAGACGGAGTCTACTCTAGTTTTCCTACCTACTCTTACTACTAGGTGTCCTCACTTAAGTCAGCAAAGTGTGTCCTGGGGGCAGCGGGGTGAGCTTATGGTTCTGGAATTCTGGGCCTGCCTCCTCAGGAGGCTGACTGGAGGCCCCATGCCTGTGGTTCTGTGTGACGCTGGGTTTCCATTGGGCCTCCTTGAGGAACCCACTGCTGAGGGAAAAGCTCTCTTGATGATCTTGTTTGGTGCCTGCCAGAGAGTACACTCTACTGTTCCACCATCACCATCCATTGGCACCGAGTCAATTCTGACTCATAGTGAGCCCCATTGGATTTCCAAGGCTGTAAATCTTTATGGAAGTAGATTGCCTTATCTTCTTTCCATGGCGTAGCTGATGGGTTTGAACTAATGACCTACTGGTTAGCAGCCAAATGCCTATCCACTGTGCCACCAGAGCTCCTTGTTGTTGTTGTTGTTATGTGCCTTCGAGTCGGCCCCGACTCATAGCGACCCCTCCTTGGGTTTCCGAGGCAGTATCACTACGGAAGTAGGATTGCCCAACCTTCCTTCCGAGGAGTGGCCGGTGGGTTTGAACCGCCAGCCTTCTGGTTAGCAGTCAAGTGCTTTAGCCACTATGCTACCAGAGCTCCTTAGAAAACCAAAAACCAAAATAGGAGCTCTGGTGGCACAGTGGATAAGGCATTTGACTGCTAACCAGAAGGCTGGCAGAGAGTGTACTAAACAAACAAACAAAAAAGGTTTGGTACACTTTTTTTTTTGTTCAGCAAGAAAAAAAGGAATAACAGCTCCTTAGGAGAAGAAAATAAAAACATGTCGGGAAGGGATACTGAGCTAAAGTTGGTTTGCTTGAGGAGGAAACCACTGAGGAAGAGAGAAGAATATGATAAATTTCTTAAGAAAGCAATAAAAGAGAAGCTCTTCTCATGCTCCAAACCCTTTAAGCTGCAATAGCTTATTTTCGTATATATGTGCTATAAAAAAGTAGAATATTTCTTACTTTTTTAGTGAAAATAATCTTTAAAAATAATTTTTGAGATTATTTTCAGAAAATTTTGTCACATCACTGAAGATAATTAGGTGATCAAGGACTTAAATTCAGTCATTGCAGAAGGCCTTGGAAAATGGAAATATTCTATTTTCTTTCTAAAGGAATAGCCAAGTTTTCATACATGTGAGGGAAAAACGAATGCTGTTTGATGTTTGTTTCAATTCTTCTGCAACGGGGAATAGAGGGTGAGGGGCTCAATTCACAGTTTTGTTTTTTAACTATCAGATAATAAGACACAAAATTATGTAAAAGCAAAAAAAAAAAAAAAAAAACAACTGCAATATTTTATGAAGGAGAGGGTGTGAGTTATTTAGTGTCACAAATACACTCCAAGAACTTTCCT